CTATGGGGAGGACTTCAACACTGACGAGGTCTACGACCATGAGTGTGACGACACTGGTGACTATGAGGCTGAGTTCGGCTACTACCAGAACGACCCTGATGGACTTGCAGCTGAGCCGGTGGAGTCCTTCGACGTGGAGGCCTATGATGAGGCTTTTGCAGCCTACTTGGATGCTCGAAAGAGATTCAGCGACTTGAAATTGTCGCGCGGCTTCCTGCCGGTGGTGGCACTGTCAGATCCATCAGCTGGCAACTTGTCGCCCGGGACTTCATCGCCGACAAGGTCATCAGGAGGTGGATCCCCAAAGGGAAAGTCTTTCAAAGGTGGTGGAAAAGGGAAAAGCAAGAAAGGAAAATCCAACATCTACAAGTACGACAAGCCACCCATGAAGGCGGCTCAACCAAATCAGAAAGCTGCAGCAATGCTTCAGTGCTTGCGATGTGGTCAACCTGGACACTTTGCGGCGAACTGCCCCATCAAATCCAAAGGTTCAAAACGGCCTGCAACTGAGTCGATGGCTCGACATGGACATGATGAGAATGCCATGGTGACGTTCGTTGACAAGAACGGCACCGAGAGGCTCGACGTTGCTCTGCTTGATCCTGGTGCTTCAGCTTTCCTATGTGGCTATGGGCCGATGGTTCGCTACATCAAGCACTTGGAGCAGCTGGGATTCCCAATCAAGCAGATCCTCTTCTACAGGTGCGAGAGGAAGTTCCACTTTGGAGGCGATGCGGCCAGCATGTCACGCTGGGTTGTCCGCATGCCGCTGTTTGTCAACGGCCGATTTGGATTTGCACAGGTGTTCATGGTCCCTGGTGAGACTCCAATGCTGTGCGGCAGACCCATCATCCAGCAACTCAACATCTCCCTGGACTTTGCGACGGAGAAGATTCGATTTGCTGATGGGATGTGGGTTCCCTCCTTGATGGGCATGCATGGAGAATATCTACTACCACTCTGTGCCGACTTCGAGATCTACCACGACACCTTGGAGCCTCAGTTTGACCTGCAGCTGGCAACGCCTGGAGAGATCGACATCAAGCCCTGGACTTTCAACGAGTTCAACAACGAGGAGACCATCTTCACCGCGACTGAAGAGCCAGAGGTTGTCATCCCCGGCACTCTGAAGTGTCAGCGCCACTTGCTGAACACCTTCGATGTCAAGCTTCTGGAGGAGACCAACAACCACCATAGCTACTTGACCTCAGAACTTCATGGACATCGAGGCCGAGTGATTTGGGAGGTGTACTCTGGCAAGGGTCGACTCTCACAGATCGCTGAAACCATGGGTGGGATCGTCAAGACCTTTTCTTTGGAGACTGGATGGAATTTCGATGATCCACAACATCGAGAACAGTTCCTGGAGCTTCAGAAAGCTGAATGCCCCGATGAAGTTTTTCTGTCGCCAACTTGCGGCCCTTGGTCCAACATGCAGAACATAGCTGCCAGAACTGATGAACAGAAACAACAACTGGCTCAACACCGAGAGTGGCATCATGCCACACACCTCAAGTTCAACCGCAAGGTGTACCTGCAGCAAGTTCAACAAGGAGGCCATTGTCACCTTGAACAACCCGCCTATGCCCACAGTTGGAAGACAAAGGCCCTCCATGACTTGCCTGGTTTTCGAGCTCAGTTCGACCAATGCCAGTATGGAGCTGAATGTGAAGATGTGGACCTGGTCTGGCGACCTGTCAAGAAGCCCACAGCGATCCAAACCACCAAAAGGGTCCTGTGGCGAGAGTTTCAACAACGTTGTGACGGCACACACCACCACTGCCGTCTGGAAGGTTCTTCGCCTGCCACTGGCCGGAGAACCAAATACATGGAGAACTACCAGCCGACCATGGCCGGTATCCTTGCAGCTTGCTTGATGGCTGATGAGCTACCAGTTGCTTGGGAGTTTGCTGCAGCTGCTGATGATGAGAAGAAGCAGCTGGGAAGCCTGGTTAAGCTCATGGCTGAAAATCACCAAGAGGCTGTGCGAGTTGTCCAACGTCTACATCGTGGACTTGGCCATCCTTCGCCAGAGGCCCTCACCGAGATGCTGGAAAGTCGTGGTGCGAGCGACATGGTCATCAAGTGTGCTCGCGAGTACAAGTGTGTGGCCTGTGCTCGATACAAGAAACCTGATGGAGTGGCTCCATCGGCCATGACCAAGGCCAAGGAGTTCAACGAACGACTTCAAGGCGACATCCTTTGGTTCAAGATCGGTGACACCAAGGTGCCTGTGCTGAGCCTTGTGGATGAAGCCACCAAGTACCAAGCTGCAACGGTCATTCCAGCTGAGCGAGCTGACCATTTTCAACAAGCCTTGGAAAGGATTTGGATCCGACACTTTGGCTGTCCCAAGGTTTTGGTCACGGATGAAGGCAGAGGCTGGAATGCTGATCGGTTTCATGATTGGACCAGCGATCAAATGATCGAACACCAAGTTGCACCTGGAGAGGCACACACCAGACTCTCCCTGGTTGAGCGCAGGCATGCAGTCCTGCGCAAAGCTGCTGAAGTTTGGATGGAGGATCAAAAGATGGTCAGTGTGGACGGCCTCAAGCAGTCCCTGTGCTACGTGGTGCCCCAACTCAATGCATCACCAACAGTTTGTGGTTTTTCTCCTGCGCAATGGCTGTATGGATTTCAACCTCGTTTTGCAGGTGATTTGCTGGGCGACTCACTTGGCCCTGCACAACTCCAAGGGAAGCAAAGCTTTGAAGAAAGCCTGCAAAAGCGTGCCATTGCCAAACAGGCAATCACTAAGGCCGAGACTGACCGAAAACTTCGAAGAGCCATGCTGAGGAAGTACAGGAGCCAACACGACAGCTTGGTGGTTGGCCAAACTTGCCATTTTTGGCGAGATGCCAGAGCTGCGGACTTAGTCAAAGTTCGATGGCATGGACCTGCAAGAGTCGTCATGGTGGAAACTGATGATGAGGGGCGACCACGCCTTTACTGGCTGGCCTTCAAGACTCAGCTCATCCGAGCTGCCCCACATCATGTGAGACCCAACTTCGAGGACATCAGTGCTGGAGTTGATGGACTTGATGCAGCACGACGTGATGTCGATGGACTTCGCTCAAGGGGGGTCACAAGGTTTCTTGACCTGTCTCGGGTCAATCGTCGCAACATCGACGACATCGACGAGGATGAGGAAGCCATGGATGATGGCGATGGACCTGGTGATGATGGGGATGACTGGTTTCCAATGGAGCCACCAACCACCAGAAGGCGCCTCAGTGAGGACGCGGGGGATGATCGCCCGGTCTTGGACTTGACCGGTGAGCGGTCGGGCTTGGACTCTCAGCCCTCGGCATTGGACTTTGCCGGTCCTCATGCGGCCCCTGAGGTTGAGATCCTCGATACATCACCAAGGTCAAGGTCTAGCCGAGCTCCTAGCCTGGCATACTCTCCAACTACGATGGCTGGGCCGAACACACCAAGGATCGACACTGATGAGGAGGAGCCCAACGTTGAGCCACCTCATCCTGGCACTGTGCCCAACTCACCTGGACGTGATCCACGAGCTCTTCAACCTGATTCACTACAACCTCAACATCCACAACAACCTGGACATCAAGAACCTCCTTCAGTACCACGGCAACCTGATTCACTACAACCTTCATCAACACCTTCACAACCACATCAACCTCCTGGACACGATCTACAACTTGATCCTTCGATGGCGAGGCTCTATGAACCTGCTGGACCAGAAGATCGATTTCGACTTCAACGCCAACGACTTGATCAACAAGAAGCTGCGATTTTTGGGCCTATTCGACGTCATCGAGATCAACATCAACGACCCTACGATCGAGATCTACCTGGAGATGCTGATGGTCCAACTGAAGGCTATGTGCAGGCCTTCGACATCACTGGGACTCAAGGAGAACATCTACCTGACGGATGGCACTGCAACGATGAGGGTGTCTTCAACCTCACTGAAGACCCCATGGACTATTGGGAGGTTAAAGCTGGCTGTGTCATTCGACATCATCGACGTCCTCGACGAGCTCTCTTCAAACTCAAGGACTACATGGACACTCCGGTCGATCCAGAGCTGCTGGATGGACTTCGCACAACTGTGCTCTGGAAAGCTGATGGCAGTTTTGAGATCATCAGCGACAAGGAGTTTGACAACAAGGTCATCGACAAGGAGTGGACTGGCTGTACGATCTTTCAGATCACTGGCAAAGCTCGTCGGGAAATGGGGATGTTTGCAAACCTTCCTGCAAAGAAACTTGGACGCGAGGCCAAAACCAAAATGGCCCGCCAACAAAAGAAGGTCGACAAGGGTGGTGTCAATGAGCGACATCTTTGTGCTGCCGACCGTGCCAAGTTCCAAGAAGCCAAACGGAAGGAACTGGAATCCTTCTTTCACAACCAGGTCTGGGAGTTCGACACGGTGGACAATGCCCAAGCCGAGAGAACGCTCACGGCCAGAGTACTCACAAAATGGTCAAAGAATCCTGATGGGTCACCAAGGGCAAAGGCCAGGCTCATTGTGCGGGGTTACCAAGACTATGATGCTCTGTCAAAGGGCCTGGACACAAGTTCACCAACAACCTCAAGGACTTCCAGAAACTTTCTGCTGAGCCTGACGGCCATTTTGGGCTGGAATGCATGGACCTCAGACATAGCGACAGCCTTCCTGCAGGGTGGCTATCAATCGAGGAAGTTATGGGTAAAACTACCAGCTGATTGCCTTCAGCTACTTGGAGCTCCTCCTACTACAAGAATGCTGCTGCTGAAACCTGTGTATGGGCAGCTCGACGCTCCAAGGATGTGGTGGATTGAAGCTCAACGGAGACTCCGAGAACTTGGTCTCCGTCAACGCCCTCTTGACCCTTGCTTGTTTTTGGCTTTTGAGGTCGACTATGCCGAGGAGCCTTGCACTGATGGCACCGTTTTTGGTGAAGGCCGACTATGCGGCGCTATCTGCCTGCATGTGGATGACATGCTTGGAGCTGGGTCACCTACCTCAGCTACATATGCCAAATTGGTTGAAGGACTTCGGGCATCTTTCAACTTTCGAGAATGGAAAGATGGAGAACGCCTGGAGTACTGTGGCTCAGTTTTGGAGAAAGTTCCTGGTGGAGGTCTGAAACTTCATCAGGAAGCTTACCTTGGAAAAGTTCACCCTGTGACCATTCAGAAAGGCGCTGGTCCCAACACCGACCTCACCGCCAAGGAGATCACTCAACTGAGAGGACTCTGTGGAGCCCTACAGTGGCCTGCGGTGCAGAGTGCACCCCACTTGCAGGCTTCGACTTCGATCACCTCTGGAATGGTCAACAATGGAAAGGTGAGCACCATCACCGAACTGAATCGCACCCTCAAGTTCGCCAAGAAGAATGCAGATGTGGGGCTCCAGTTTATGCCCCTGGGAGACATCAAAAACTTGCGTCTGGTGACGATGTTTGATGCATCGTTCAGCGCTCGACCTGACGGAAGCAGTCAAGGTGGATACATGGTCATGCTCGTGCCGGAGCACACCCTCACCAACACTGAGGACTGGTTCCACCTTTTGGAATGGAGATCTTTGAAGCTGCCACGAGTGGCGAGATCGTCTTTAGCTGCTGAAGCACAAGCCGCTGCATCAGCCGCAGATGCCACTGACTTCATCTGCAAGTTCTACAGCTACCTGGAGAACCCCAACCGCAAGCTTGGTGATTTGCTTGGTCAGGAGAGCAGTCTCCGACCGGTTTTGGTGACTGATGCCAAAGCCCTTTACGACAGTTACCACAGAGAATCGGTGACATCGAGTGTCACAGATCGGAGAATTGCCCTCGAGATCAGAGTCATCAAGGAGTTGGTCATGGAGCTTAAAGGTGAGCTCAGATGGGTCAGCAGTGCGCGCCAATGGGCTGATGGACTTACAAAGTCATGGAAGAGTTGGATTCTACTGGGATCCGAGCTATGTGGCTGCGAAGAAAAAGACTGCTGCCGAGAGTCAGCAAAACATGGATGCTCATGCTGCACCTCCTCCGAAGAGACTGCGAAAGATCGACGAAGATGTGATGGAAGAAGAAGCTGAACCTGGTGAGACCTATGAGAATGTGGATGAGAACATGCCAAACGAAACCTATGAGACTGAAGATGAGAACATGCCAACCGAGACCTATGAGAATGTGGATGAGAACCTGCCAACGGAGGCCTATGCCTACATGGTCTACACCAACGACATGCTTGACTATGTGGACGTTGCCTTCTCAAAGTCCAAGGACATGATGGAAAATTCGGAAGCGATCCTCAATGGGATGCGCACCTACACCACGGACATTTTGTCCCAAACCGGCATTTTGCCGAACCTTTTGAGCTTGCTGGCCTACATCGTTTCTTTGAAGATGTTTTTGGGCCTGCTGCTCCTGGCTGCCATGGCCTACTTGGTCCAGAAATACGTGAACCACAAGATGGAGAAATCGTATCAAGCTGGTTTTCAAGCTGCTCGGGATGAAGCCTACCATGAGGTTCAACAGAGCCGAGGCTTAGCCATCGTGATGGGTGGCATGGAAGACACCTACGTGCGAGTCCGGGAGCAGTATCGAGAATTTGCTCGACGGCGGCGAATTCTGGAAGATGCAGATGTGCAGCGTGATGCTGCAATTCCTGTCTGCAGGAGAGCCTTGCTTGAGGCGGTGGAGCATGCGGACATTTGCCCCATGGGCGACCTGATTTGGGAGATGGATGGCACCTGGCACTCTCAGCCTCAATGTGCCGACCTGCCGGCATACAGAGCCGGTGCACCCAGATATGGAACGCCTGGGAGCCCTGTGACAGTGCTTCGACCTTGCACTACGTGCTCATCAGGGACACCAACACCACATATCCCTGACAGGCATGGAACGACCTTGCTGCGAGAGCTGGAAGCCTGGATCATAGATCAGGGCACAAACGCCTGGCCGCTGACTGGACCATATGCTGATGGACCTTAGGAGTTTTTCGTTCTTTTTGGTTTTGGATGGGCACTTACAACCTGTGCTTCTTCCCCTGTGTGAATTGCACGCCGTGCAACAGGGAACATCCAACCATGTTTCTTTCATATGGCCATATCGGCCCCAATTGCCCCATACAAATCCCACAAAGGGTGGGTACTGACTAGTCAGACCTGGCTACGCCATAGCCTCTGAAAAGGGGCGCTGCTTACTCTTGCCGAGCTTGGACTTCGTGCGCTGAGCTCTCAGATTGGTGTTTGCACTGCCGATCTTACACTTATAAATATGGCAAGGAACATCATTATAGCTAGGTAGGGCATTTTCCATAGCCATGTTTTGATTGCGGGAGGGTATGACCACCCTTTTAATGGAGAACATGATGATAACGCCTGAAATTTGTGGTAGCCTATTTTCAGACAACCTCACAAGATTCTAATAGGGATGAATGGGTTTATGCTTATTTTTTGACATATATTGATATCATTTAGAGGAATCCAACCAGAAGTTATTTCTTCATGGTTAAAAGGGAAAATTGATGGGAAGGTCAATGGGAGATTTGGTGCTGGGGATACCACCAAACATCGAACAAATCATGAGATTTGGTGGTTGACGGGGGGATGTAGGGGCAATTACCGCAGTTTCAGACAAACATGGGCACGGGTTTAAAAATGAAATCAATGGGGGGACGACCCGTCTGAAATTTCAATTTTGGATTTCATTTTTCTTGCCGCGCCCTCTATCAAGTGGAAAAGGGTCCGATGGTCTGACATGGTCTGACCTTGCCTGCAGAGTTCGGTGCCTCAGTGTGGACACATTGGTATCACAAAAGTATGCATGTTTTTTTGCAAACCTCATTTTGTGTTCTGCTAGAGACATTATTATGTTTTGCTAGAGACACCTCAAGATCAACGGGGGGGAACGACGGCCACTAAGATTTCAGGAGATCATTTTGGAAGCAAGGCTATGCAATACGCACGCTGTAAATAGAACAGTGAAAGCAATTGCCATTGACCGTTTGACCAACATGGGGGTGCCTGAAAATAAGGTTTACCATGGTTTACCATATGGTTTACCATGGTTTACCATGGTTTACCTTATGGTTTACCATGGTTTACCATGGTTTACCATGGTTCAATGACAGTTTCAAAGTCGTCCTTCCAAGAAGTACGTTTTTTTTTTTCCTGGCCAGACCAGTGTAGTGGCCCACACAGACAGATGTGCTCAAAGCATTTTGACAAAAACATGTTGCATCAGTTCCAGAATCTTCGACCTAAGGTTGGATCCGAGCAGATGTGGAGAGTCGGGGATGCGAATGCGTTGAGTTTTGCTGCTTTTCGTCACATCATTTCCAGGTTTTCGCTATCGCTGAGCATCCCTGAGGTCTCAGTATCCTTGGTTTGTTCGACCAGCAGCCGCTAGGACGGCGTAAAGAAAAGTCTTTTGCTCTATCCTTCAGTGGAATATGATATGTGAGATTGTCTATGTGTGAGTATATTTGGAATATGGATGAATATGGTTCTCATGCTGGCTTTCAAGACGCTGATATCTGTATTTTTGAAACATCTTCTCCATTTGAGTACTTTCAACGTACTGTTTAGCGAGTATCATCGCTTTCAAAGACGTGTTGAAGCAAGGAGTCTGGTTCAACACCGGAGCTGCTGTGCGGTGTGGGGAGCCCCATTGTCGTGGCCAGTGTATCATTCTACGGTTCATTTAATTATATAATACAATATAACTATAATTATAAAATATATATGTATATATATATACATTATTGATTAAAATCAAGCAATGTACATATATGTATACTACGATTTTTACTAATATATTATATAAACCATTCGCCATATGTTGATGCGACTTGGTGCACCTTTCCAAGGTGCCACCAGACAAAGAGCTGGCTTCCAAGTCGGAGGGAAGAACCATCCGGGCCTCACTAGGTACATCTAGGATACCTAGGGCACTAGATATACCCTGGGTAATGGATGGTAATGGCACTAGGCCCACAACTGATTGATATTTATAACTTTTTGTTTTCGGCCGAATCCACAATAGATCGTTTTTTTTTTGACGCACATCCAAGATTCAAAGGGGTATACCGTATACCTACCTATCCAGAGATGATCATAATCTAGGGAAATCCTACAGTACTAAGTACCCAGTATAGAGGGCTGAGGATGTTAAACACTGCCCAATTGATGTTGATGGTTATGGTTCTTTTAACAAAAACTGCGCACGGGGCATCATAGTATATATATATATATACACAGACCTACAAATCTCACAATTCACATCTGAGCTGCTCTAAAAACCTCCCTTTACATTTTCAGCAAGGGCCTTGTGCTATCTATCTAATCTATCTATCTATCTATCTATCTATCTATCTATCTCTCTATCTCTCTCTCTCTCTCCCTTTCATCTGTCTATCTGTCTAATCTGTCTAGCTGTCTATCTATCTATCTATCTATCTCTCCATCTATCGATCTATTGTTGTTGTAGTTGTAGTTGTAGTTGTAGTTGTAGTTGTAGTTGTTGTGGTTGTGGTTGTTGTTGTTGTTGTTGCTGTTGCTGTTGCTGTTGCTGTTGTCGTCGAGGTTAGGGTATGTAGTTAGTGAAGTTAGTTAAGTTAGTCAAGTTAGTTAAGTTAATCAGTGTCTACTTTTTCGACCTCTTCACGTCAAAAAAGGCTCAAAACCCTCAGTTTTTTACACTTTTGACTTCGAAATGTGCTTCGCGCCACAACGGCGTGCACTTTTTCAACACTTTTTCGACATCTGAACCTCCAAAAGTGGTCCGAGACCGTCAGTTTTTAACACTTTTGACTTCAAAATGTGCTTGGCACCACAACGGCGTGCACTTTTTCAACATCGCAACTTCCAAAAGTGGTCCGAACCTGGTGTGTTTTGTACATTTTGACTTGGAAATCTGCTTCGCGCCACAACGGCGTGCACTTTTTCGACATCGCAACTTCCAAAAGTAGTCCGAACGTGGTGTGTTTTGTACATTTTGACTTGGAAATCTGCTTCGCGCCACAACGGCGTGCACTTTTTCGACATCGCAACTTCCAAAAGCGGTCCGGACCTGAGGTGTTTTGTACATTTTGACTTCGAAATGTGCTTCGCGCCACAACGGCGTGCACTTTTTCGACATCGCAACTTCCAAAAGTGGTCCGCTCCTCTAGTGTTTTGTCCATTTTGACTTGGAAATGTGCTCGGCGCGCGCTCGTGGCAGTTTGAGGTTTGTGGAAGAGCGCGCGTTGGAATCACAAGATCAACAGCAAGTCACATTCTAACCTTCAAAGGATCTCCGGAACATTCTCCGTATGCAAAAAATGTGCAGAAGCAAGCTTAAGGGTTTTTGGTGTAGGGTTTGTGGTCGAGCGCGCCGAGCGCGCGTTAGGGTTTGTTTTGGCCGAGCGCGCTGAGTGCGTGCTAGATTTGTAAAAAAGCATGAGGCAGAGACAAGTTTGGACTTTTGCAATGATCCTTAGAAGTGAAGACTTGCTCTTGGGCTTGTTTGCTTTTCGTGAAACCTCGTGGGAGTTTGAGGTTTGTGGACGAGCGCGCCGAGCGCGCGTTGGAATTTGTGAAAAGCACAAGATCAACAGCAAGCAAGTCACATTCTGACTTTCAAGGTATCTCCGGAACATTCTGCTTATGGAAAAAATGTGCAGAAGCAAGCTTAAGGGTTTTTGGGGTTTAGGGTTTGTGGTCGAGCGCGCCGAGCGCGCGTTAGGGTTTGTTTTGGCCGAGCGCGCTGAGCGCGTGCTAGGGTTTGCAAAGAAAACATGAGGCAGAGACAAGTTTGGACTGTTCCAATGATCCTTTGAAGTGAAAACTTGCTTTTGGGCTTGTTTGCTTTTCTGTGAAACTCTAACCCGCGCTCGGCGCGCGCTCGTGGCAGTTTGAAGTTTGTGGACGAGCGCGCCGCGCGCGCGTTGGAATTTGTGAAAAGCACAAGATCAACAGCAAGTCACATTTCTAACCTTCATAGGATCTCCGGAACATTCTGCGTATGCAACAAATTTTCAAAAGCAAGCTTAAGGGTTTTTGGGGTTTAGGGTTTGTGGTCGAGCGCGCCGAGCGCGCCGAGCGCGCGTTAGGGTTTGTTTTGGCCGAGCGCGCTGAGCGCGTGCTACAGTTTGTAGAAAAAGCATGAGCGAGCGACAAGTTTGGATTGTTGCAATGATCCTTAGTGAAGACTTCCTTGTAAGCTTGTTTGCTTTTCGGGGAACTCTAACGCGCGCTCGGCGCGCGCTCGGCGGCGCGCGCTCGGCGCGCGCTCGTGGCAGTTTGAGGTTTGTGGACCAGCGCGCCGAGCGCGCGTTGGAATTTGTAAAAAGCACAAGATCAACAGCAAGTCACATTCTAACCATCCTTCAAAGGATCCCTGGAACATTTTCTGTATGCAAAAAATGTGCAAAAGCAAGCTTAAGAGCTTAAGGCTTTTTTGGGTTTAGGGGTTGTGGTCGAGCGCGCCGAGCGCGCGTTGTTTGTTTTGGCCGAGCGCACTGCGCGCGTGCTAGGGTTTGTAGAAAAAGTATGAGGCAGAGACAAGTTTAGACTGCTGCAATGATCCTTAGAAGTGAAGACTTGCTTTTGGGCTTGTTTGCTTTTCGTGAAACTCTAACGCGCGCTCGGCGCGCGCTCGTGGCAGTTTGAGGTTTGTGGACGAGCGCGCCGAGCGCGCGTTGGAATTTGTGAAAAGCAAGATCAACAGCAAGTCACATTCTAACCTTCAAAGGATCTCCGGAACATTCTCCGTATGCAAAAAATGTGCAAAAGCAAGCTTAAGGGTTTTTGAGGCGACGACTTAGTCAGAGACTTTAAGAGGCGATGACTTAGTCAGAGAGTTGTAAAAGGCAATGGCTTAGCAGGATGTACATGCACCTAGTGATACCTAGTGGAATTCGCCGTCTCATCATCTTTCATTGCCTTTTGCAGTTCGATGTGAAAGTTAGAAGAAGGCTTCCAGGCCCTGAACTTTCCGGTC